GCGGTTGCAACCGCCTGAAGAACCATTCTTCGGTTGCATTCAATGCTACCAACCGACCAGCCGACCAGACAGACTGTGGATAGACCAGCCGACCAGACAGGCTACTGATTATCCAGCCGACCAGACAAACTGCGGACAAACTAGCCGACCAGACAGGCTACTGATTGTCCAGCCGACCAGACAGGCTGCAGACAAACTAGCCTACCATACGGGCTACTGATTGACCAGGTTATCGATTGGCCATCCGACCAGGTGAGCTACTGACTGGCTGACAGCTTCCCTCAATGGGTGTTTGAAAACCCACTTTCTTTTTGGGTTTATCCGCGGGCCCAAATGTGAGAACCCATCTATAGGCCCAACAAAACCCTAAAATATTTTAATATAAAACACCCTTAAAATTATATGGTAAAATTACTAAATTAACCCTATTTGTTTTTAACCATTAAATATTAAATTAAATAGATCTAATAGTGTATATTTAATGAGCACGGTGCTGCTGATTTAAGCATCAGCACCGTAACAGAAGCAACATATTATATATTATGTTAATATACATATATATTGTATTTGTTAAAAATATTTATAAAAAATTATGTTTTAAAAAATACAAAATGAATAGGTACTATGAATGTTATAGGTAAGTTGCATAATAACGTTTTGTATTTTAGTATAATGATACATAATACTTGATATTTTTGAAAAAAAAACAATAAATAATAAAATGGGGAATAAAATCTCACAATCAAATACACCCTTAGTGTATTTATATTTATTATTATTATTATTATTTGTTACCATATGTTGAAAATTTCTATTCAAATGATAACTAAGCGTACATGTTCACTTTGATGCTGCATGAGACGATGCAACATTGCACGTAATTGTATGATGACTGACTTATTTTGTGGATTGATAATGAGAGAGTCCTTTCCATTAGTTCATCTCATTGCATATTTACTGGAATTTTTTATGTTTATTCTATGCTTTATTTTTTAATTGTATGTGTTTGACAGATTTTGGAAAATAGGTATGTTTTCAAACAGTGTTTAGTTGTGCAACCGATGGGGATGCAAATTTATTGTAATATTTTTATATTTTATAATGTCATTTCATACTATTTTCTCGCATCGTACAGGTTTTCTGATTTCGGTATTAATTTTTTTGTTATTAATGAAAAAATATGGATACCCTTTTTTTGGCAAATTGTTGCTGGTACAAATATCGGTACAAGAAATATCAATGTCGTTCAAAATATTTTTCTGATATCCAACGTATTGTAACAAATTTAAGACCGTAATAAAAGTCCTTACAAATGCATGAACAATTATTATAATGATTTTTTTATTAGGAGAAAATTTTGTTACAAATAAATAAATAAAATATTGGTACCGTTACGAATATCGTTACAAAAAAATTTTGCACGTGCGTTGACCGCCTACTTTTTGTTACGGGAAATATCGGTACAAAGACTTTTTGTAGCTCGAGTATATGCACCAGTCAAAATCCGGTACAATTTTGTTACAAATAGCCTTTTATAATGAAAAATGTCCAATTTTAGCCTTTTTTTAGCCGCTACAAGTAGCCATTTTTTTGGTAATGCAGAGTGTCAGGCGCTTGATAGTTAAAAAATTAGGAAATAGAAGGGAATATGAAAAATTAAGTACAATTACATGAATAAAAAGAAATATAACTTTGATTGAAATGTTGGAATATGAGTTTATACTAAATACATTAACTCTATTTATAAAATCTAAATGATGTTCGAGAATCGACGCATCATTTCTAACCGACTAATGGAATAAACGGACGCAATCCTTCGACATATCAATAATCTAAAAACTTAATTTTATTTTACTTCTCTTAACTATATCAAAATTTAAGATTTTCTTAAAAATATATTTCCCAAAGTAAATAATCTTTGAAAATCTTGGTAACAAATTCTGATATTTTGTTAGCAAAATTCAAAATATCAATAATAGATATTTTAGATTTCAATAATGGAAATATAATCTAATATTGTATTTAAAATCAAGATTCAGCAGGTATTGGAAATATAATCTAATATTTTATTTAAAATCAAGATTCAGCAGGCCATGACACCTATATCTTCATCTTGATTTCGTCACACACCATTTTCTTTAGATGGCGATGACGTTGAATCATCTTGTCTCAAAACGGTGGCTGATAAATCTAACCAACCCTTGATTGAACTGACTGCAACTCAGGCGGACATCCGTAGTCCATCTGCGCGACCTTCTACTGAACCGTCTACTATCGATCATAGCTACCAACAGTCCAAGAGCTCCCCTACCGTTGTTAGTGATGACGGCATTGATTCTAATTCTGACGGTTCTTTTTTTTACGATGATTTGGTTCTAAAAACACGTCCTTCTACTAATGCCCCCATGGTACGTCCTTTTCACCGTATATTTTCCCCTTTTCAAGGTGCGAAGTGTGTCCCCGACGTATCAGGAGGTCGTCTTGATTCGATCCCCCTACACTCTCAGCAATATACGCGGTTATCCTTTCCATCAAAGTTGATCGCCATTACGACAGGACCGGATGTCAAGTTTTCATGGTAAACACATATCTCTCATTATTTATTTATTTATTTGTCTATTTATTTAGAATTTTTGTCCCACCATTTTTTTTAGACCAAACCTCGTCATCTTTGCGTATTCCTATTCTCTTGGAACTTGCAAATAAATGTGTTTTATCTTCCTATGGGGATCCTACGTATCACTCTTGTAGATGTGGCTGACATTACTGGACTTTCGAGTCACTTGTTTGGGCTAACACTCGCTTTTGGGGAACATATAAGGAGACGTATTGCTTATCCCAAGAGTCTACCCAGACGGAACATGATGCTTTTCTAAACATCTGGTTGGTGCATTTTTTTGTAAAAAGTCGTCTTGATCATGGCTCCAAAACCTTTGAACCCTTGGCATGGGCTATTGTGAAGTCGAATGTATTAGAAATAATTCTAATGTGCTGGAATATATATCTAGTATTTTAGTTTACATTAAAATAGGTATTGCACATTTTTTTAAAAAAAAGTTTTTAAGTGGATCAGTTTCTTGTTTGAAGTATGTAAGTTATTTATGCAGTTTTCATCGTGTAGCAAGAAGACAAGAGAGAAATTTTTCTTCTTCTCCTTTTTTTTTAATTTTTCGTATGCCCCAATTTTTTTTTCTGAATTTTGTCAATTCTAGTTGCAACACTATCAGAGCCAAGTTGATGCCCAAATATCTCAAATTTAAAGACATGTCGATAGCGTCACAACAAGGTAAAGAAGGCAGCGTTCTCCCTTTCCAATGTCCTATGTTAACCTCGACGAATTATACTACCTGGCAAATTAAGATGGAAGCCATCATGGATGCTCAAGGGATTTGAGAGTTCATCGAACCACCGGCCGGAGTGGCTGTGGATGATAAGAAGAGCAAGGCTGCTAGGGCTTTTATCTTCTAGGCAGCTCCGGAACAAACTCTCAAACAAACACAACTTAAAAATCCATACTTCAAAATTCTCCAAAATCCAAATCCAAAATGCAATCCTCCAACCAAACACACCCTTAGTAAATTTTATAAATATAATTAATTAATAATAAATCTTTATTTATATTTATTTTACATTCAATTTGTTAAAAATAGGGGGAGGGCGGCTGGTAGGTAGTGCAATATGTTTTTACTTATTTATTATATATTGTAATAATTTTTTTATATAATTAATTAATAATAAATTTTTATTTATATTTATTTTACATTCAATTTGTTAAATATTATTTTCAATATTTGAAGTTTGGTTATTTTTTTAATTTTTTATTTTTTATTAAAAAATTATAAAAAATACATTTCCATTTGTACAGAATAAAGTCGTAATTATTGTATTTACGATATTTTTTGTCATATTTGTAATTGTTACGAAACATTTATAGTAATAACTAAAAAAAGACGTTGACTAATAAAAATTCCTTTTGTCACGATAAAATTCATAACAAAAACCACCTTTTATTACGACGATATTGTTACGAATCTTCCTTCCGTAATGAAAGCCCAGTTTTTTGGTAGTGAGGGTATGAAAAGAAAATTCTGCACACAGCAGGAATGGAATGTTGTAATCTCTCAAAATATCCAATGGAACCAAAATTAAGTTTGTCAAAGGATGAAGAAGGTGTACCTACAACTGAATATCGCCGTCTAATTGGGAGCCTTAGATATCTCACTCATACTAGACCAGATCTCGGATACTCAGTTGGAGTTGTGAGTAGGTACATGGAATCGCCAAAAGAAAGTCACTTTAAGGCGCTCAAACAGATTATGAGGTATATTGTTGGGACGATCAATTATGGACTTGTTTATCATTTGGGAGGTGATGGAAGACTACTTGGGTATAGTGATAATAGTCATGGCAAGGATATTGATGATCATAAAGGTACAACAAGAATGAAATTTTATTTTTCTAGATATATTATCACTCGTAACGGTCCGAGTGAATTTTTTTTTTAGCAATGGTGGGGATGCGTGCAATTTCTTTAAACCATGAAGTGATTTAAGCTAATTTTCTTAATTTAGGGGATATTGCACTAATAAACAAAAGCATAGAACTTTACTTTATTATGGATTATAGTAATACATAGTAAACGTATGATATAATGGAAAAATTAATACTATAAACTTTAATCACCAAACGTAAACATACATATATATTGAATTTAGGGAAACTTGTTCAAAATTATTATCATACCATCGAGTACTACAAAAAAGAACCAAATAGCGAAGGATTATTGAGAGGATTTTATTTCTCACAAATACTGTTGCAGAGAAGATATTTTGTTAGAGAATTGTTTCATTTTCAATTAAAAAGTATAATTTGTGAGGAATTTTATAATCCCTCACAAATATAAAGGAAATTTGTGAAGAATTTATATTTCCTCACAAAAGGACATTATTTTTTATTTTACACAAAACTAAAATATATCTTAACCTTAGTACAATATCCCAAATTCAATTTCACAACTCTTCACTCGTCCAATATTGATTCCTCACGAGAGCACACACAACAGCTCGTCACCATAAATTCCTCCATTGCGTAACTAGCACATACGTGTCGAAGTTATTTTTGACCCAATCGATTTTGAAAATTAAGTATCCATAGTGACCTTTTTCATCTATTCAATTGTTTTTCTCTCGCCCTTTTCACACAAATTTTCACCCAATCTTCCCCGTATAAACCCTAAATCTCCATTGAAATCGCGGCTGCCAGCATCGGGACATAGTGGGGGACGGAGAAACTTTCTCCAATTCCAATCAATCACCGGTAAGGTATTATTGTCGATTTGCCTCTCTTTCTCTTTTTTTTTTCCTTCTATTTGGACACCTCTAAAAACAAGAAATTCTAGCAATTGCAAGGAACAAGATGACCCTAACCGTTATTATACCTTCATCTCTATCGCCATTCGAGGAATCGGTCACTGGAAATTGCAAGAATTTGAGGGGCGTCTTGGTAAAATTAGAAGAAGAGGGAGGAGAGCAGTTTTCATCTACAAGGATGGAATGGGTTGGGAGAATAAGAGAAAACCAGTGGGAAGAAAGGAGAGAGAAGAGAGGTTGCAGTCGATTGTGCCTCGCCTGCACGAAGTGGCACTTGATTGTTAATCAAAATTATTGGATCTAAAACACAGTCACTAGAAATGCAATTTTTAGAATGGGTAATGAAAAGCCATCAAAATATGAGGAAAAGGGCTTCTACAAATAAGCTATTGTATATGCTCTCACCTATAATCGAGTCCTTGCACATCATTGTTGTCATTCACCTATCGTTTCAGCTGCCGTTGTCGCCTCCTCCAACAGCGTCGTCTCTAACTTTCATTGGTGTCATCTTCCACTAACCATGCTGCGACTGCCGTCATCTTTTCCGGTGTCTCACTCAAGTTCAAGTAAGTCGAAATTCCTCTCCCTTTTCCTGGAACTTGTGTCCTCTCCTCCCTTCCCTTGGTAGCTCCATAGGACTGTTGATTCTTCCTCTTCCTCTATATTTCATCGTTGTCTGAAATTCTCATTTACTCCCCATCCTTGGCTCTGTCTACTCTTGTTCTTATAATTTACTGCTACAAGTTCTTTTAATAATGCATATATATGTGCGTTGTTTTAATTTAATAGAACAATTATATATATAAATATATATACACCTATGTGTGTGCGTATAATTTCATGGTGCCAAGTGCGGCATGAACGGGAGATTCCTTTTTGAAATTAATTCTATTAATGGAATGGAGTTTTAATTCCTTCTATGGGAAAATAATTCATTGTAAGTAGTAATGAATTGTTGCTTAATAATATGTTGTGGAAATTAGCAAGAAATGCATCAAATTATGTTTTCATTTATGCAAGTTCCAAATTTTTCTTGAATCGTAACTTGTTTCTTGTTATATAAAGGTCCTCACTTGTAAGTAAGATAAATAATGCAAAATTATAGTTTGATTTTAAATTACAAGTTTCATTTCTTCTTGATCATGTAAATATTTTTTTACTTTGTCGAGATTGGGTTTGTGTTCAGTCCACTTTGTCATTTTGCATATTGATTGAAGTCCGATGATGACCATCATACCTAGAGCACACATAATGGTTTATGGAGGAAAGAACCTCTACAAATACGTGTTTAAAACCTAATGAAATGGAAAGTCATTCCTTTGTTTCTTTGGTGTGCATTACTAGTAGGTTTTATAGTCTGGAATAGAAGGGAGACCTGTGAAATATTGATTTTTTTATTTGTTTTGAGGTAGGTAGGAATTATACTCTAGATGGGGATGAATTTTATATGTTGGTTGAAAATTATTAGGTAATTCATTAATGGTGAGTTTGTCAGGGGATACTATTCTTTATGCTTAGGTTCATAAGTTGGGGTTGTTGGCCTTTTTCTTCTTTTCTTTATAGTTCTGATTGGTTTATGTTTGATTATGTACTTTTTGTAATTCAATATTTCAGTCTTGTCAATTTCATATGGATTCATAAGTTATGCCCCTCCGGCTCATCCTCACATAGCGCTAGCATTTCCAATATGAAGCCTTTAAACTGATGTGTTTGATTGGCTTCAAAGCCTATGCAACTTTGTAATTCAAGCAAACTAAACAATAAGTTTATGATAGACACAAATCTTTAATTTCTATTGTTGATATTCAACGTCAAATGGAACATGGTTATTAAAATATGTACGGCCCTGCTACCATGATGGAACTCTAGATTATGAATTGTCACTGGAATGCTTGTGACGTAGTTCTTCATGTTTTTAAACCATCAAGATTTAAAGAAAAAAAAATGGAAGAATTTGTCTTGTCACTATTTTAATCTCAGACATTCTATATTTTGTTCTTTCTCTTCCTGCTATTTGTTATATGGGCAAGATTTCCCTGTTTTTCTAACAATGACAAGTTGAGAACTATTCATGCATAGTATTTTTATTTTTATTTTTTTTGTCTAAAAAATTCACAGGAAGCGAACTGCTTAGATAAATGGGATAAGTTTAGCTTCCGTAGGTTCTTAGGAAACCAATCATAATAATTACAATAGCCCAAACTACTTGATGTGTAAAGCTATTTAAATACAAGGTCTCTTATAATACAAAGCTACAAACCATTTCAGAATATGATTCCCAAACTACGAGAACACAATGTGTTCTTTTTTCATTTAATTTATGCATTTTTCCTAAATTTACTTACCCTGCATTAACTTTTTCTCGTTAGTTTCAACTTCAGACTCTAGAGTCATGGATTCACCTCATTGTGTTTTAGCACATATTTATGTTAGACAGAAATTAATTGACTGGTGCAACATTTTGGGCACTATAGAATTAAGCTCTTATAATAACTTTATTTTAGTTTTGTTTGATCAGTTGTAGATTACCTTATTATTTTCAAATGTGACAAGAGAAAATATGGTGCAAAAAAATACGTTTAAAAAAATTAATATATCAAATGAAGGCCTTTTGAGAAAACATGAACAATCTCAATTCGTGATCATATTTGAAGGATATATATCATGATATAATGTTACTTATCTTACAATTGAAATATTTTTTCAATATGATCCTCTAAACTATTTTGAGATGATCTCATTGACCAATGTAAACATATCATAAAGAAATTTTGTATTGCGTGACAATATTTCATCTGGTATTTTATTTCTCAAGTAAGCTAGTTTAAATGATTTGCTGAGCTAATTTTTATAGTTGACCATGTGAATCATTTAATTCAAAGTTGCATCAATTATGGTGGATTCTTGCATTGTAGGTGTTTTTAGTGAATTTTATACAACATATGGAAGTTAAAGGGGCTCACGTATTATTTTGTCTGTATGATATTATTTCTTTTTATTTTATTTATAGACTTATCCCCCACCCCCAATTCACTTCCCCAATTTTAACTCTCTTTAGTAACTAATCTTTTTGTCTCTAGTTATGGGTTCCAATAAAGAGCCTTTCTTGCTAAATCCTTCTAGCTTTGTCTTTTTGCATATTAGTGGTGCTTTGGTATGGCACATTTTTCATGCTTGTGCAATATTTACTCACTTTTCATGCATTATTTGGATTACAGTAACTTGTATAAAGTGAAAACATTCCCAAAGTGTTGTGTCAAAGTATCATTGACTATTTTGAGTTTGCCTTTGGGTGTGCAAGAGTGCATTACTTGCTATATATGTTTCACTTTAGTTAAAGAAAATCCACTCCCTTTTCCTTCTCATTTAATTTGTTGTCTTTGATATAATTTTATCTATCTATGTAATACTTGATTCCATTAGCACTTGATTTACTTTACTTTCAGTTTATTATATACCCAACTGTGGATTATTATAATGTCGAAGAAATTGTACTTGAAAGGTCAATCAATCCCAATCCAGGTGAATAAATTTGAGTTCAAATTCAAATTCTACTCTAATATGGTTCGTTTTATAGTACATATACATACAAATATGCATTTTGAATTCTACTAAATTATGTTGCATGCTTGCTTAATTATTGATGGATATGGATGGAGTGATTATTTGTTTGTTGTGTTTTGTTTCATTATATTTGTGTCTTAACGTTGTTTTTGGTATGTAGTCTTCTTGTCTTTGTTTTTGTTGGCTTATGTTGTGAGTTGAGGATAAACGTGTCTTCAATTTGTATTTGGGCAGCTAACTTTCAATTTGATATTCAGTATGCAATGCAAATTCTTGAGAAATGAGAGATATACGAGTGAGCTCACATGAGAAAACATGATAAAAAAATTATAGTGCAACACGAAGACTACCCGAGTAGTGATATGAAAATCATATATTTTTAAGCACAACTCAAAAGTATTATGTAACATTCATTAATATATTGGTATTTTCAAGCTGGCATGAAGCATATAGAAGAGGGGATCTCTTAGCTCGGGGATAATGACTATAGCAGGGATGACGCGTTTATGAGCTTAGTCCCTTGTGAGAAGAAAAATGGTATATTCGGATTGGGGTCGTTGATAGAGCTGTTAAACGAACCGAGCCGTTCGTGAACTCGGCTCGGTTCGACTCGATTCGGCTCGGTTAAAGCTCATTTACGAACGTTAACGAGCCGAGTCGAACAATATAATTAGGCTCGTTTAGTTAACGAACGAGCCCAAGCTTTGTTTGCGAACATTCGTTTAAATAATATATACATATAAAATTATAATTTATAAATAAATAAAACATTAATTTAAAATATATAAATCAAAAAATTTAAATTTTCTTTTTTAATTTATATATAAATTGTAAAAAATAAGACCAACGAGCTCGAACGAGCTCAATCAAGCCTAAACGAGCTGAACAAGAACACGAGCTCAAACAACAAAATTTTTTAACGAGTTGAGCTCAAACACTACGAACGAGCTCGAAAACTTAACAAACGAACACAAGCCTTGTTCACGAACATTAACGAACACTTCAAATTTGGTTCGGCTCAGCTCGGCTCGTTAACAGCTCTAATCGTTGGCATCGACAATGCCTACTGAATAATCGTCGTTCAGTAGCAATGGTCACACCCCTACAACTGAGCCTACAAATAGGAACACGTAATGAATATGGAGCAACGACGGACTTCGAGGGAACAAAATATGACTATCATGAAACAACTGATGAAGATTTGGGCTTACTTAGACCGTTATGACCTGGATGGCGATATCGTGCTCCTCCGATCGTGTGATGCATGATTGTTTTATATTTCATTTGCTCTTGGCATTATCTGAATTAATGATATGGCTGGTTTATTTTATATTATCGTATAGTATTGGAGACGAAGTTGATTTTTGTTTTACACAATATTTACTGGTTGAATTGTTGTTATAATGATTTTTTATATTGTTAGTTTGTAATTGTTTGGAACAATTGTACGAATTTGAAATGAATCTTTATTAGTTTGTATTTGTTTGGAAAAAGTGTAGAAGTTCGAAATAAATTATTAGGAAAATTTGATAATTGGGTTTGCGAGAGAATTTATTTCTTCACAAAAGTGGATTTTAGGAGGAATTTAATTCTCTTGCAAGCAATGAAATAATATGTTTAGGGCGAATTTTTCAAAGTAATATTCCTCGCAAATTTCCTCGCAAATATTTTCGAAGGAATACTTCCCTCATAAAATTTCATCGCAAATATTTGCGAAGGAATATTTCCTCATATCTAAATTAGTGAGCACATGTATAATGATGACGTTTATTTCTTCGCAACTTCTTTCGCTAATGCATTTTGCGAGGAAAATAATTTGATATCTAAGAAATTTTTTCCTTGCAAATCAATATTTTTTTTGGTAGTAGAGGTTGGATTCACGTGAAGATGAGAGATAAAATAAGATAAAAATAAAAATAAACATAAAGAAGTAAGGTAAAATTAAAGGTGTGCTTGTTTTTCATTTCGAGGGTGTTTGGGAAACAGCTTTTTGAAGAGCTTTTAGCTTATTGAACAGCTTTTAGCTATTTGACCGGTCAAAAGGCTAATTTAGGTGTTTGGTAAATTAGCTTTTTGAAAGAATTTTTTGGACCCAAAAAGCTAATTTCTGAAAAGCTCGTCTACCCAGCGTTTTGAAAGAGCTTTTTCATTTTAATTTTTGTTATTCCTTATTTACCTTTAAAACTTAATTATTTATTTTATACATATAAATATATTTTTATAGCAGTATTTATTAATTATTTTTAATATATTTAATTTATTAAATTATATTTTTATTTTTATAAATTTAAAATAATTAATATAATTAATTATTACATATAAGTTATTTTATTTGTAAAATATATAAATTTTTATAACTAAATCAATAGAAAAAATTAAGGTTATTAATTTATATATATATATTAAAACAATAATTAGCATAATAAAAATATATATATGAAAGATTTATTATTTTATATTTTACATAATTTCAATAAAAAATTATTATTTTTTAGTAATAAAAATTTTCTCAAATTTAAATAATAAAAATAAAAATAAATATTTTATAATATTTTTATAATTTTCAATAATTAATAAAAAAAATTATCATAAATTTCAAATCAAAATGAACAAAATTAAATATTTAAAAAAATAACATATAAATGTTCTTAATAGTCATTTTATGTATAAACAACTAATGTCAAACAGTTGTTTTACCAAACACTTTATAACAAACCGCTAATTGAATCAGCTAGTCAAACCAACTAATTAAATCAGCTAACAACTAACAACTAATTGAATCAGCTAACAGCTAAAAGTTATCAGCTAATTGCCAAACGCACCATTTAAATATTTTTTTTTACTATTTACTCATATTATTTTTGTTGATGTATTTTTTCAACAATAAAAAAGTAAAATCCGAAAATAGAAAATTATCTTCGAATTTGATATATTTAGTGCCTGAGACTATGAATCTCTAAACATTGTACGATACATAAATAAACTAGAAATTAAAAGACTGAAAAAATTTAAAAGATGATCCCGAATCACTAACTTTGCTGTCGTTTGAAGATGATTGAAGATGTCTTGTCAGTTGCAGATCTCAATCCTTAAATATTCTTCAGAAACAGTACTTGGAACCGTCACCTGAACGATTACAACGCCTCCTCTCAACCGTCTGCTAACTCTTCTTTTGCTGACACGTGTTCTCAACCGAGCAAGCTATTATTCTCACTCGCTCTCCGCAGCATCCGACCTCCACAACAACCAACACTTCGCTCATCCAACTGCTGATCAACCAACTTTTCTATCCGACCGCAAACCAACAGACTTGCTTGTCCGACCGCGAACCAACCGACTTGTCAATCCGACTGCAAACCAACCGACTTACCTATCCGACCACATACCAACTGACTTGTTAGTCCGACCGCAGACCTTCCGACTTGTTGGTCCGACCGCAAACCTTCCGACTTGCAGACCATCCGACTTGTTGGTCCGACCGCAGACCTTCCGACTTATTGGCCCGACCTCAGACCTTCCGACTTGTTGGCCCGACCGCAAACTTTCCGACTTGCAGACTATCCGACCTGCTGACCTTCCGACATGTAGACTGTCCGACTCGCAGACCATCCGACCTGCGGACTTTCTGATCCGCAGACTTACTTCCCTATGGACCATCCGACCTGCGGACCATCCGACCCGCAGACTTACTTCCCTAGAAATACATCCAATTTACCCAATTATCTTGAAATACCCCTTAATTAGTCTAACAGACCCAATTGTAGGCCCACATCTTCATCTAACTTGGGCTTTTTAACCTAATTATAAATTTCATACGTAACAACTTGCCCGCCGCCATCGGACTTTCAAACGACATTTCTCAATCGCCGTTTGGAAGTTCGCAATCTGTATAGAACAACACCCCTTCTGTGGAACCGCTTCTGCAACTGCAACCATTTACTGCAACACCTTGTGTGCCACAAAACTCTCCATCTTCACTACTGGCTTTTGCTGCTCTCAATCTCTGCAACTCCAAATCATGGCAAATCAATACATACCGGCACTTCCCTTCGACGGATCAGTTCCGGAAACAACTTTTGTTGCGTCGAAAATGCTCACTCCTACTATTCGCCCATACTGCACCACTCCTGAAGACGCCAACCGAATGAGAGAGGTCTTGGAAGCAGGAAATCCACTCGTTGTCAATAATCCCAACTACAACGCTATCCGTCTCTATGACAATATCAAAACGCACCTAACGGATCCCAAAGATCCCTACTGCACCTGGTACAAAAGGGTAGTAGAACGTTTTCACGATCAATGGAAACGCCAACAAATCGACCAGGCAATACTTCTGTCTACTCTCCCATGTCATTTACATGAGAAAGTTCTTTTAGCGATGTCAGCGTTCTAGCACTCGGAGATGGGCGTTTTCCTTCTTCCTACAGCCCCTATCGGCCCCACACTCATGGATGTGGCCATGATCGCACATCTGCCAATTGTGGGAGAAGACCCTGTAATGGGCGCCCTAGATGGACAAGAGCCCAGCACAGACCATTTGGGTTGGTCTCTGAGTGGCGTAAAGGAATGGGGCTGGACCAAATTTTTAACCGACCAACAAGGAGCAAACGGGACCCCTGTGACCGACCGTGAGCATACAGCTTTCCTGTTTTTTTGGCTCTGTATGTATATCGTAATTTCTCCTTCGAAATGTGTCCTTCCCTCTCATCTTGACCTGGCTATACATATAGCTTTAGGTCGTTTCTTTTCTTTGGGCACTCTCTTCCTTGCCAATCTTTTTGAAGGGCTATCCAGGGTTAGCACCCGTCTTATAGATAAAGATGGCAAAAAATTAGATACCGCCGCGTCGGGCCCTTTTTGGTTCTTGGAATTGTGGTTCCGTCTCTATTTCCCCGAAGTGTTCCAACTCGGGCAACCCCCTGTCACTCCCCCACCTGAAAAATCTCTGGGAATAGCCCTTAACCGACTTTGTTTAGGTCGCAACAACCTCCAAGCATCCGACCCTATCATAACTGCCATTCTAGCTGATGACCGTAGTAACTCCCGATTTTACATGCATAGAAGGTATGTCGGTTATGCATCCGACCTCTTCTGGCCATTCCCTATATCTTCACCTTTGTCCGAACCAAACCGACTTCCTCATCCAACTTATTCCTTCTCCTGGGATGCTTCTCTCAAACCCAGGTCTTTATTTGCCAGTAAGAAATTTGATAAGAAAGGCCACAAAGCGTTTTATACATTCAGCTATCAGTCTCAGTTTTTGGCACGCCAATTCGGATGCCAACAAGGCTTACCTGGCCCCATCGCCTGTCCACATCTAATAATTCAAAGTCTGGACGGGAGTCATCCCTGAATTAATCGCTCCTTATGTATCCCAACTTACCGATTACATAACTTCCAACTCCTACATTCCTTTCCGATCTTCTCCAGCTTCAATTGAATCCTTCCGCGAATGGTGGTCGGTCACCTGGGCTTAATTGCTCTTGACAAGGATCGCCTACTGAGCATTCTCCTACCACAGCCTGCCTTGGTTTTAGGGGCGGCCCATTTGACCAACACCCGAGGAAAAGTGGTCACCCCAGGCACTGGATCATGCACCCCACCGAGGAAAAGAAGAGCTTCTCAGACTCAAGCTATCCCCTTCCCTGAAGAAAATCAACGGACTTTGAGAGACCGTTCATCAGGTCGGTCACCCGTAAAGACCCGACCTCGACCAGGTATGCTCCCATAATCCTAATTTAATCTGACTATTTCCTTAACATTTCATTAGTCATCATTCTTATGTTTAGGTCCGACCCTGGCCAGAGCGACCGTCCAGGCTGCTTCAAACCCAAACAAATCACCAGAGTCACCAACCGACCAGCTTCACGAACTTGAACCCCCGACCAAACGACGGGCCGCACTGCAAACGCCTTCACCAGCCGAACTGACAACAACAGGGACTTTATCCAACAGTGAGGCAACTGCCTCACAGATGGGTAGGTTGCCTTATGTCGCTTCAGACCCCTCTCTTCCTAACATGGAGCCAATGGCCACACCTGCATCCGCCTCCGCCTCAGTCGCCTCTGGTGTTGTCGCCTCTGCTGCAGTTTCTTTTGCGGCAGTCCCCCCAATTGACAGAGATGTCTCTGATACGGCCATCCGTATCGCTCCCGACGAACCGGCTGCAGCCGCCCTAGACGCAGCCGACCAAAGAGCAGCCGACTTGAGGGCAACCGACCAAAGAGCAGCCGACCTGAGGGCAGCCGACCCTCCTCCAGAAGCAGACAGACGGGAAGAAGAACCCGCAGTTGCCCAACGGAGTGGTCTTTTACAAGAGTTACAAGAAATCCCCTCCTCTGATTCAGAGACCTCTGTTAACCTGGTAGACACTTGAAACTCCCTTTTCCAAATTATGAAATAGTGTTTACATTATATTAACACACTATATCTCCATCATTCAGGGACCCAGATCCATACCACAGCGTCCATTTGAAGCAGCCGATGAGTCGGCCATTGAAATACCAGTCGCCCATCCTTCCAGACCTATAACAGTCCTGGCACCTTCTGCGACCACGATCCGTCCAGAAGTAAGTACAACTTTCACAACTATTTCTCGATATTTGTGCTTCATGTAATCTGAAATAAACATCCATTCTTCTAGGGATGTCCTGATCTAGCCCCTTTGTCGGCTGTGCCAATTCCGAGGGACGCCCGAACTATAATTGCATAGGCTGTTGATCGACATTTCCCCGACCTGGGATCAAACTTTCTTGAAGGTCTTCTTCAAGCCATTGGTGGCCTTCTATTTCAAATTTCGTCAGAATCGCCTGCCGCCCCCATTCTCCACCGTCTGATGGAGTGACTATCCGAACTTCGAAATGACATTTTATTTGCTCAAATCGTGACAGTCAGAGCATCCTTACCCGACTTGGATCAAATAAGTCTGGAGGCTTCCTTGACTAAACCCAAGGAATCAATTCAACAAGCGACTGGAAGACTGAAAAGCCTCTCTAACGCCAAAACACAGATAGAAGAATCAATTCAACAGAAAGAGGCAGAATTGAGAAAACTTCATCAAGAAAAATATGTTCTGGAAGGCCACATAAGCAACGAGTGGCGCCTGATTGATCAGTACAAGAAAAATGAAGCCGACTTGGACCAAGAACTGAAGGTGCATGCCTGATCTCAATTCATAAGGCAATACCAGTCAACTGCTAACACCAGGTGACTTTCCAAGACAGAGGACAAATGGTCTCAGATTAAAACCATTTTAAAATCTTTTCTGTAAAATTTTGGAAACCTTGACTTAATAGATAAATTTTTTTTTCCTCTTATTGTTAAGGATCACTTTCCAAAATTTCGACCTTCCATGGAACATATCTAACTCATATCCTTTTTAAACACTTGCAGTCCCTTGCGAATCAACAAACAAATGCTTAACCACAAATTGAAATTTTGGCACGCCTGAAATATTGATTAAAATGCCACACAATCGTCCTCATGTTCCTGTAAATAACTGGCAAGGCGTTATTCAACCCTTCTTCGTGGGTAACTATCCAGTTGGAGGCCATGCCGAGGACTTGCTATGCATACTCAAGCAATTAGATTTCAAATTCAGATTTTCCAAACGAGACAGAAAAACCATTCATCGTGTTATTCGCCTGATGGAAAACATGCTGGAAGGATATGAAACCCTTCGGGATATACAAAATCGTCTTCCCGACATTGATCTTCACATGGATTTGATTGAACACCATGTGACAGCCATACTCCCAGACCTTGGCTGGGATCATACTTTCTCCAATCAGCGCGCAGTCTCTTCGAGATTACGCACTCTTGTTGATCGTGAGCGTCAAGCCGTGACAGACATGAAAGCTCGCACTGACTATGATCCAGAGAAGATGCAAGATCAATGGAAAAAGTACCGACCCGACTTAGAGGACCTTATTGATGAAGAACCAGAACTAATCCCTAATCACTGGAATGAAGATTCTGACTCAGAAGAAAGTAACCCTCTGCATGACTCAACATCTGATAATGAGTGAACCCTTTTTGGGTCCGAACCCTTGGTAATCGGGTTCTGAATAAAATTACTATTTCATGCTTTCTTGTTATCTAAAAAGGTAGGATAATACCTCTTCAGATACTTAGCATTAATACAATCATGTACCCTCTTACCTTCTTGATTTATAATAATAAAGACACCATTTCTGATCTCCTTTTGAATGATAAACGGTCCTTCCCAATTCGGAGACCACTTCCCTAATTGATCAATCTTCTTATATGTAGGAAGGATAGTTTTCCAAACCAGATCTCCTTCTTTGAATGTTCTATAAAAAACTTTCCTTCCATAAGTCTTAGCCCTGATTTCATTCTGCTTCACAATTTGATCAATTGCATAAAGTCGATTGACATCCAAATTTTCCAATTGCTGCAACATAATTTGTTGATATTCCTCAGTAAATTCATCAGTAGTAAGGTTTGTACGTCCAGATGAAACTTGAACTTCGGCCGGCATCACAGCATCTTGTCCAAAGGTGAGCTGATATGGTGAAACTCCTGTGGCAGAATTTCTGTTATTCCTATGTGCCCATAAGGCTCGAGATAACAACAAATGTCATTTTCTTGTGTTCTTTTCAATCGTTTTCTTTATAATCCCAATAATAATCTTGTTAGCTGCTTTTGCCTGCCCATTAGCTTGGGGATAATAAGGCGAAGAATGATTCAGATGAATACCAAACTCTGCCAAGAAACTTAAAAACTTCTCGCCAGTAAAGACCAAACCTTGGTCGGTTGTTATTGAATGAGGAATACCATACCTATATATGATCTGATTCAGCACAAAATCCATCATCTCCTTCTGATCCACATTTTTTAAAGCAACCGCCTCAACCTATTTGGTGAAATAATCTATTGCAACCAAAATAAAGCAATGATGTTTGGACGAGGGAGGATGAATTTTACCAATGATATCCATAGCCCAAGATTTAAAGGGCCATGGTTTTACCATAGCTTACAATTCCGTGACTGGCAAGTGATTCAACTGCCCATGCTTCTGACATTCTTGGCAGCCTTTGGCGAATTGTATGCAATATTCGAAAATCTTTGGCCAAAAGAAACCCAAACGATGAATAGCCCATCTCATATTCAAACCTGCCTGATGAGCTCCACAAATACCACTGTGTACTTCTGTCATGACCTCCAAAGCCTGTTTGGACCCCAAACATTTCAAAAGTAATCCTTCGAATGTTCTTTTGTATAACACTCCCTCTATCAATTGGAATCGCAACGCTTTCAGCCATATTCCAATCGGTACATTCGCTCCTGGGTCTTGCAGATACATGATGATTTCTGTTCTCCAGTCGGTTCCAGCTTCTGTTTCAGGGCCGACCTCTGCACATATATCTTTTGGGATTCCCTTACAAGCTTTTTGAGCTAACTCGTCTGCAAATTGATTTTCCTTTCTAGGGATGAACTCAATTATCACTTCGGAGATCTTTGATAGCAACCGACTTACCACATCCCTGTATCTGCGTAGATGGGGATAATTGCAAACATATTGTTTGTTTACTTGGTTAATTACCAACTGAGAATCCCCTCTTATAATCACAGATTGAACTTTTCTGGCTATTAAGGCTTCCAATCCCAAGATTAAAGCCTCACATTCTGCTGAATTATGGGTCATGGCTTCTAATTGCAACTGCAACTTGACCCTTTGACCATCTGGTCCCTCCAACAAAACACTTGCACCCGATCTGTTTCCTGAAGTAGAACTATCAAAAAACATTAACCAATTTCGGGTACTTACATTAAGACATGTATCCGGTCGGTTCCTGCTCATAACCTGCGAAGTCTGCCAAAAAATCTGCTATTGCTTGGCCTTTCACCACCCTCAAAGAAGAATGATACAAATCAAAATGGGCTAATTTAATGGCCCACTTCATAAGTCTGCCCTGCATAGTAGGTCTTTGCAAAATTAACTTGATGAGATCAATCTTTGAAATAACCTCAATTCTCCTGGGCAACATATAATGCTCAAGTTTTGTGCATGCAAATACCAAAGAATAACACATCTTTTATGGCATTATATAATTTAATTCTGGTCCTGTGAGGGTCTTGCTCAAGTAATAAATTGCCCTCTCCTTTCCATCATCTCCATCTTGTGCTAATAAACAACTGACCACTTCATACGTATTTTCCGAATAAAGTTTGAGAGGCCGACCTTCCTTGGGAGGCATCAACACAGGTGGTTAAGCTTATAGCTTCTAAAGTTGTCTGTTGGCCTGGTCCCCACTCAAAAGCACTTCCTCCTGCCTTCAATAATTTAGTGATTGGCCTGACCTTGACAGCAGCATTGGAAATAAATCGTCTGAGATAATTTATCTTCCCCAAAGACTTTGTATTTCCTTAACCGTCTTGGGTGGTCGGCTGGAAAGAATTGCTTTGGCTTTATTAGCATCGATCTCAATTCCTCTCTCATGAACCAAAAATCCCAAGAAGCTCCCGGCTGAGATACCGAAAGCACACTTAGTCGGATTCATCTTCAACTTGTACTTCTTCATCCAACTGAAAGCATCTTTAAGATCCCTCAAATTTTCCTCAAAACTGGAAGATTTGACGATAACATCATCTATATATACTTCCATAGATTTACCAATGAGATCATGAAAAATTGAATTCATGGCCCTCTGATAAGTCGCCCCTGCATTCTTCAAACCAAAAGGCATAACCGTCCACTCATAAATACCTAAGGCTCCTGGACATCTGAATGCTGTTTTATGAATGTCTTCTTCTGCCAAAAAGATTTGGTTATATCCTGCATAACTATCCATCAAACTGAGAATTTTGTGTCCTGCTGTTGAATCAATTAGCATGTCAGCCATAGGCATCACATATTCATCTTTAGGAGTAGCCATATTAACGTCCCTGAAATCAATGCATATCCTGATCTTTCCATTCTTTTTAACCACGGGTACAATATTTGTCAATCAATCTGCATAACGGCAACGCCGGATAAAACCTACTTTAAGAAGTTTCTGAATTTCCTCTTTAATTTGAGGCATCAAATCAGGACTCATACGCCTTGGAGGTTGCTTGTAAGGCTTAAGACCTTTTTTAATAGGCAATCGATGCTCTATCAGACTCCGCTCTAAACTAGGCATCTCCGAATAATCCCAAGCTAAACAATCAATATTGTTTCTTATAACTTTGAGCATCAATATTTGTTGCTCTTCAGACAAATAACCACTCATCCTGATTATCTTTGGAACCAGGTCGGTTTAAATTAAATTCCAGTAAAGGATCTTATGCTGAAAAAGCTGGTTCTGTCTTTTCTAATAAATCAGGCCAACGAAATTGTTCATCTTCTTGGAAATAAACATCATGAGTCTTTTTTATTTTTTCTACTTTTTTCAAAAGCTGGTCTAAATAAAATTGATTAATAAGTACACTACAATCTTGTAAATTTGCACCTTCCATAAAGATATATTATACAAAGGATGTTTGGCTTCCTCAAGAGCCATACAGTAAAACTGTTCTTTTTAAAAGAACATTGAATTATGGCTGATGAATTAAAAACCCTTCTTTGGGTATTCATTAGCCATAAAAAACTGAGACATTTGGGGTATATGTCCGGAATAAAAAACTGATTCTTCAACTTGTTCTGATGCTCCGAAAGGGTTGTCATTTGCTTCCATTTTGAAGACCTGATTGCCTTCCCAGAACATTAATTATTGATGCAGTGTTGATGGTACACATTTAGATGCATGAATCCAGTCTCGTCCAAGTAGGATTAAGTATATAGTATCCGCATCCACCACAAAGAAAACAGAAGAAATCTTTTTAGGACCGACTTCAATTGAGGCGACCATCATACCTTCTGGTCTGGTCGGCTGCCCTGTGAAGCTAGTCATCTCAAAATCCACGTGAGATAAATCGTGAATTCCCTTCCCTAACTTCTTGAGAGTCTTTAATGGCATCACATTGAAGATGGCTTCGTTGTCTATAAAAACCTTCGTGATTGGTTTCCTGAAGATATGAGCATTAACATATAGAGGCTTTAAATGAGACGCTGTGCCTTCTGGAATGGGAGGGAAGACTATTGGAGGAACCTCTGACTGAAAATCAGGATCTGAAATCTTTGCCCATTCTGGCTCTTCTATATAATCACCCACCAGACTTGCCCACAAGGGTTCTTCTTCAATCCGATTAATTCCTGTCATTCGGCAGGGAACTCGCGGCCCTAGTCGAGAT